AGGTCAGAAAAAATTAGCTGTTTATTTAAAAAAAAATTAGCTGTTTGTTACTTATTTTCGTTTTATCACATCAGTGATAAAATAAAAAATTATAAGTGTTTTCATAAAATATCTGTTGTTTTCCATATGTATGTCTTATAGTGTTCACGCGTATGCGTTCATTCTTTTATGATACCAAGTTTAGTGACGGGACGAACAAGTAAAGCCACACGCCTGTTTAACACAGTAGTAAGTCTACTTAGAGCTTTAAATTGTAAAGATCTGAGGAGCACAGCCACTGCGCCAGTCACCTTGAGACATAAGTTGACCATGGGACCTCCATGTGCCTGTAATTTCACCAACACCCTTAAAACTGGAAAGTAGTAATGCACACATTACTGCTTAGCGTCAGAAATAGGTAAGGTTTGATTGTTAGTGTCCCTAAGCACACCAGTGCCCGTAAAGTGGCAGTAGAATTATGTGTGATAAACCTCCCAGTGACAATATTTATTTCAGTTGATATGGCTAATTTTGCTTATTTGGTATGAACTATTGTCATACATTTTAAAGAACAAGGACAACGATATGAAATTGCGCATATAGCTATCCTTCTCGTTTAGTTAATCATCGCAGCGAATACGATGAAATAAAAAATATGTAGTTTTATGTAGTAGGTTTATGTAGTTTCTGTTTTTACACATTTTATATTAGTATTATTATTTATTATTATTTCTTTTCATCTCGTTTATCGCCTCAATTTTTACGTTGATAAAATTACTGTGCAGAACTGTCAACATTTTTTAAAATCAGGTGTGACTGTGGATATATATGTTCATAGAGGCGGCATAGTACGAGGTCACGTCTTATCAACTTTTGCAAGGAAAATTCTGTACTAGATACCAAACGACTTTCCGCCTGATGATTAATTACCAGTATTAATACCGGCTGATATTTAAGTATCGCGACCAAAATATATAGAACATGTGAGCACTTTAGTCATTCAAAAGACCCCGTAGCAATTCCAGTGCTGCGGTCTCGAGACCACACCACACATACATCAACGTATGCTTTATTATATTTTGTATTTTCTTGCTTTAATGTGACATGATGTAGCAAAAGTTTTTTTCTTGGTTTTATTTTAGTTGGTACCCTTGGGTCTATAAAATATATCCATTCCCATATGCATCCAGTCCCATTTGCGCGTGATCCCATTAGCATTAAGAGTATACTATTGAAAACAAAACCGACATTACTGAATGAGTAATTTATTTATAAAAGCATACAATTCAGGCTAAAGTAATTAGATATACAGAATGCAAATTTACATAGTCAATTCAAACAATAGCCCGCAGATATGTATCCAAAGTTTGTATTAATTAATAATTGTTATCATCCAGTGATCTAATATCCTGGCAAACTCAATAACGAAACTTGAAAGCTGAATTTTCAAATCCATTTTTAATCCCCGACGCAAAAGAGGGGAAATATAGGTTTGACGCGTTTTTCTGCATGTATGTGTATAATATAACTACACACATCAAAAGTGTCTAGGGATCAAGTACGTTTAAGAGTATTGCTGCAATTAGGGTTAATTATATTTACTTTTTTGTATCGCTATTGATACTTTTTAGTGAGTTTTAACATTTAAATAAGGTATATTGTTTAAAATTCGATAATAAGAAGAAAATCGATTGTCAATGTAGTTTTGTATAAAAATGAGTTATAGTGTTTTGACAAAATCATTACAATATCTGCATCGGAACCGAAACAATTTACATTATTATGGAGAGACGACATCATTTAACCCGAGAAGTGATGATGCGAGCCGTCGGAATGTTGGAAGCTGGTTCCAGGCAACGTGCTGTGGCTTTCACTTTTAACACTACACAGAGCGTCATAAGTCGCTTCTGGACGCGCTATCGCATGACGGGCAGCGTGGCCGAGCGACATGGAGGACGATCTCGCATCACGACTCGCAGACAGGACCGGTATATCCAAAATACTGCTCGACGGAATCGTACCATGACCGCCATGATGTTGGTTACGAGGCTCCACAGCTCCTCAGGCTTGCTAATAAGCGATCAAACAATCCGAAATCGTTTACGTGAAGTGGGTCTGCGATCCCGAAGGCCGCTCAGAGTTCCACCTATTGCACCCTGCAATCGCAGGACCCGTTTACGATGGGCTCGCGAACACAGAAACTGGGAGGAAGAAGACTGGCGCTATGTGTGCTTTTCGGATGAATCCCGCTTCGGTATGAGACCGGATACAAGACGTACCCGAGTTTGGAGAACATCTGGACGTCATGAACGTTTGAGATATTGTCAGGAAGTTCATCCATATGGTGGGGGAACAATAATGATATGGGCCGGTATTTGGATCGGCGGAAGAACCGATCTCATTTGGATCAGGGGTAACCTCAATGCTCAAGTTTACGCAGAGAGGATTGTTTCAGATGTTATCATCCCTTTGCGAGGCCAGTTGGGTGATTCATTTCAACTAATGCATGACAACGCACGTCCACACACGGCTAGAGTCGTAACACGCATTCTTGCCGAAGCTCGTATCAACGTTCTGCCGTGGCCTGCTCAATCGCCAGACCTCAATCCAATTGAGCACGCATGGGATATGCTTCAAAGAAGAGCTGTGCCGAGTATGCATACCGTACATACTCTACAACAATATTTTGACTTGTTACAAAACGCATGGGCGGCCATTCCTCAAAGCGATTTTGATGAACTCATCTTAAGCATGCCAAATCACTGTAATTGTGTGATTCGTGTTAATGGTGAAAATACAGATTATTAATTTTCTTATCTTTACAATAAAAATGAGCAAAATCATCATTTTCGCCATTTTTTTGTCATTTAATTGGAGCCGTTAATTTGAGTTTTTTCCCACAATTTGCAAAAACATCAATTTTAGTTTATTTTAATTAAATATAGGGGTAAGCGGTTAAATAAAACATAAGCATTAAAGTAAGAAGTCGTCCTAGAAGACTGGATTTGGTAAATATTACTTAAATAATTTTTATTTCAAAAATATTCACTTGATCCCTAGACACTTTTGACGTGTGTACTTTAATTTATATTCATTATTATTGTTTACGTTAGTGACGAATCATATTATGCCTTGACACTGTTTTTGAATTGTAATATTGTGTGACATGTGATTCTATTCCATTCTATGTCTGTGGCTAATTGATCCGTAATAGTTCCACCAACGATTTCTTTTAATTTGGAGGCTCGTGCAATAGGTTCGGTCCTTATGTATGTTTAATTAATGAATATCTGAGAAGAATGTAACTTTTTGACATCTTGATTTTGAAAATTTTCAGAAACAGTAGAGTTCTTAGTGAAAGATGGAAGGAAGTACTGTCACCTTATTTATTTAATATAAACATTACTGCGTTTCAATTTTGAAAGGTAGGTACTGTAGGTAAGTACTGGTGATATTATCGGCCAATTGGACTTATCAACTTATGTCTCAGGGTGACGGTTGTAGTCGAAGTGCTCTTCAGAATTTTGTGATTTAAAGCTCTGATAACTTTTACGGGTAGACGTGGCGCTTACCACCAAGCGCATGACATGTTCGTCCCGGTACTTGATATCATAAAAAAATCATACCTAAAAATTGCCGCAACAACTCGTCTTGCACTGTTCTCATATATACCAAAATCAATCCAAAGCAATATGGATCGATTTGCTGATCTTGCCTAAAGTTTAGACTAATTTTTTTACACATTTCTATATTTTTGCAATACCGTTCCCATTCAGTTCCCTTTAATCCAATGTTTGTTTTTAAAATGGTGTGTTTCATAACTAAAAATGTAACACTTCGTGCGAATCCTTGGAACATAGGGGTGAAACCCCAGTTTACGTCTGGTCCCCCGATGATGGAAAGGGGAAGGCGGAATTAATTCGCGTAATTCCCTCGCACACTCTCCGTGATATATCCTGTAGAATACCGATAAGCAGGCAACTTTACGGCGATGTTCAAGGCTCTGCGGCTTTGCCTCTACTAATTCCGCGTCACCTATGAACCTCTTGACACGCTTGTCGATTGAACCCATGGTGGCCAGTTGATATGTAGCAGAGCCTTCCCACGGGTGGCAGCAGTACTCCATGCACGATCGGACTTATGCTTGGTACAGCTGAGGCAACTGTCCCGGTGTAAAGTAACGCCTCACCCTGGAAAGGGTGCCAAGCTTTTTGGCTGCATTTTTGGCCATGGATTCTATGTATCTGCCGTAGTTAAAATTGGACGACAGGTCCATTTCAAGCAGCTGAAGACGTGTATATCACGAAAAGTCGGAGTCAGCTCAAAGGGACTCCATTTTGTGAAGAACAGATATGCTTGCGTTTTAGTAGCGTTAAAATTGACAAGATTGGCATCGCCCTAATCGGAGACCGCCTTAAGTGTCAAATAACCACGAACCATGGACTCTCGACGAGACTGGATGATCTCTTTCATTATTTATTGTTCTGTGGTAAATCCATTCACCACGATGGTTAAGCAGGGTATGCCACTGATACGAAAAGAAGAAAATTTAATATATTTATTTATGATAGCATGCAATACAGGCTAATATAATTAGTAACGTAAGTATTAGAACGCAATCGTACATGGGCAATTCAATAGTAATCCAAATATGTATGCAAAGGCTGTACTAATTTAATGTTACTTGAATTCCAGTGAACAATTGATATATGTATATTCTGGTATATTGAACATTTTGGCACCACGGAAATTTTTAACCGACTGTGAAAAAATTTGTGAACCGATTTTGATGATTCCTTTTTTATTCGAAAGAGGGTACTTCAGTGGTGGTCCCATTTAAATTTGAAGAAAATATTCCACCTGTAAAGGTGGCAAACTAGGGGATGAATGAATTTTGATGTAGGTTTTTTAAATTTATTTTTAAACATGACCTGTAATAAGACTTGAACGAGATATTACAAGTTGAATCATAGAAATGTCAAATATGAACACGATATTTTTATTTTCAAACGTTTATTTACACAAGAATCAAAAAATTGTAAAAGTTGCACCTTGTATAACATGATACATAACTGACAAACCGACGATTGTAAGATATAATTGGGGTAATGCTTATCCAACAATAGCAGAGCAGAGTTGACAGTCCAAAATGCCACACAAATCTTTTCCGCGCTCAACGCGGAAGTAACCGTCCTCACCGAAATTTGTTCCCCAAGAGTTCTTGAATCTCCAAAATTTTGTGTTGCCCTCTGAATAAAAAAAAAATTTCTTAGTACAAAATGTAATTACTTGCTTTAGTAATAAACAATGGTCTGAAAAAAGTGTTCCACGTATAAAAGATATAGCTACAAGGAGCGACATGGAGCGACTCGAATTCCGGATTTCCAGAAATGGTTTTACTGCATCGTAATACCAAACTACTGACCTAGAAAGTTGAACTTACTGATAATGTAGATAACTGACCTTTTACCAAAGCAGAGAATAAAAAAGCAATGAGAATGGTAACTCTCCGCCCCTCCCTAGCTATAAATACCCCGCATATTGACGGTCACATTGACGGATCGGACAAGACTGTCAATTATCTACTGCATTTTTTTACATGGCACCATTAGAATTACTTTAAAATCCAAGTTCGACTTCTTAGGTCACTAGTTTGTCCAACGATATAATAAAACCATTTCCGGAAATCTGGATTTCGAAGAAGTAATTAATGAATATTTGGAGGTTTTAATAGTTAGTGGAATACCTTTTACGACCATTGGTAATAAACAAAACATGAATTTTAAATTTCTGAGCTTTAAGTGGTTCGGTGACATTAATAAGCATCATTCATGACATGAATATAATCCAAAGGCAAATTATTCAAATTTGTCCAAACAAATTGTGTAAAATTTACATTACCCAATGTTAGAGAGACTGTTACAAACACTGTAATTAGAAACGAAAAATTGTATCTTGTGGATACAGTTTTATTTCTAGGTATAACGTTAGATGCTAAATTGCAATGGGGTCCACATATAAGTAAGTTATTAAAACGGCTCAGCTCTGCAGTGTACGCGATTAAAAAAATACGGAAACTTTCAGACGTCGAAACCGCTAGATTGGTATACTTTAGCTACTTTCACAGTCAAATGACACAAGGCATTTTACTTTGGGGTAATGCCGCCGATATCAAAAGAATCTTTGTCCTGCAGAAACTTGCGGTATGGCAATTTACAATCTGGGCCCCAGAGTATCTTTGAGATCTCTCAAAGATACTTATCTAAGTTCAAGGAAATTAATATTCTTGCACTAGCGTCGCAGTACATCTATGAAAATGTAATTTATGTTAAGAGGAATATAGTAATCTCTTTATGAAAAATAGTGACAGACATGATAATAACAATACGAGGAACAAAGATAAACTAGCTGTTCGTGATAGTCGTCTTCACATAGTCAAAAAATCAGTTAAGGGGCAATGTATACGTTTCTGCAACAAGATTCCGGTTGATATACGAAATTTGCCATTCACGAGGTTTAAAACTATAGCGAAACAAAAACTTTATACTAAAGGTTCTTATTCAACTTCTGCGTACTTGGATGACAAAAATCTCGATCTCTGATGTTTGAAAGCAATAAAAAATATATTGTAAATGTTGACTGCGTACAAATGTTATTTACAAAAAGCAACCCCTAGAGTTTCTTGCTCATCCTTCTCAGGGGAATCTGCCTTACGAATGAGCGGTAGAGTTTAACCAATGTGACGATTTCAAGTGTAATAATGCTTACTGAAATAAAGATTATTTTGAATTTAATTTTTTTTCGATTTTGTACAAGTGTTGTATTTAGTTATTGCTGAAGTAACTGTAGTCTTTTAACTGGAATTTAAGTTCTATAGTAGTACGAACTCACCAACGCCATAGCCCACCAAAAGCACGCCGTGTTTGCATTTCGTCATCCTACATTTATTCATGATACCACTACGGTATGGGTGCAAATCAGTAGAATCCATGGCTGAAATTGTTAAACAAACTGTTAAAGAAATTATAATATGACTTTGTATATAAACACTAAAGAGAAATGCAAAGATGGTGATATAGCGCACAGTGCAGAACTGTAGACATCGCTGTATCGACAATGTCATTGCAATTACAGACCTACCATTTAGCGGGGTGGGTTTCTTAGGTAGCTGCTCGGTGCGGGAGGCATGGCAGTTTACGTACCAGTTAAGACGCGCTTCACACGGGATAATTTCAACAAGATATCTCTGACGATTTTCAATAGCAAGTTGATTGAAAATGTACAATTGTAATAATAATTGTTACGGAAACTGTCACTCCTCCCGCACTGCGCAGCTGCTTGAGGAACCGACTCTGTTACAAAATGGCTCAAAGAGGGGATTATTCCCCCTTCTGGTGTCGCCGTTGTCAGGTGAAACATATCTTTGATATGCACTTTAATTTGAATGTTCTGCAGCAATATCTCACTCACCATTTAACTACCTCATAAAAAATATTAAAGCTGACATTTCGTTCTTACTTTACATACCTACGGCAATTGGACCTTGATTGTAAAGCATTTTGACCAAATCATCTTCATTTTTGGGATCGTAAGTAACGCAATCAGTCACTTTAACTTGTACTTTACTGGCATTGAATAAGCAATCACCCTCGGAGCCTCTGTATGGGTAATCATTTAGACTCATCTGTCCACCAACTCTTATTATTTCCCTGAAATGGAATGTTGTTTTTCCAATCAAAGCGAGATAATGTTGAAACACCTGTACTATGCAAAAAACTACTTGCATCCAAATATTAGAATAATACGAACACTTTGTTTAAACTCAACAAAGACACTCAGATACGAACCGAATCAAAAAAGTTCGTTTTTTAAAACAGAAATCTCTCATGTAATTCCAATTGAAAATAAGCGTTAAAATGTATATAGGCGATTGCATCGATGCAATCGCTTATAAATCACAAGTGAAATTTTTAGTTTTGTTTTTAATATACATTTTATTTTTCAAAAACAGACAACGAACACATTGCATCCCCTAAATAAAGAAATTTAAAAAATAAACCACATAATGTAAAAACAAATTACTTGCGTATTAAAAATTTATATATATATATCAATATCATGGACTTTTCTAAAACATATTTGTAAGTTCGTTGCTTCTTCACAAGTTATGTCACAAATAACTACTTACTCTATAGCCTTTACCATATCACCTCCATGGCAGCCATGATTTGTGCGATCACAGTCTACTATTTGCTGCTCTGATAGATTCACCAGTTTACCGTATTTCTTTGCATACTGACTCTCTATATTACCTAAACAAAAATATGATTGGGTACTTACATGTCGTTGTTTGAAAAGATAATATAATTATATATAATACTATGTATATAGCAGACTAAAGAAAAAAGAGAGATGTGTACAGCACGTATTAAGAAGCACACAGAATTGGAATATTAAGGCGCCAAAACGAAAGCATTTTTCACCTCAATAAGAAGCTCAGAGTCTGTTAACTGATGATTTTGTTTTACCTGTAACAGTGAAGGCATAACAATCTCCACACCATTGGTCCTTGACAGAAGTGACAGCGGAACCTTGCAGTTGCCAGTCATATGCTTCCGGCGGGTTTACCGCTGGCGCTCCGCGACTCGTGCAATTTGTGTAGCTGCTCATACGAAGTAAGCCGTCTCGTACCTTTCCTAACTCTTCTCTGGTCAAGTCTGAGTGTTGATGAACACCTAAAAAAAGTGTAAAAAGAAAATAGTGACATTGTGCAGCTGTTCCTTATATTAAATATATGATTTGGATCAGTCTTTGATATACCATAACCATTATACAATTATGTTGGAAACAGATTACAGAATTTTGCTAATAAAACTAATTTAAAAACATCAACTCGTTAACGATAAATATGTCGAAATCATTGCACAAAATATATCTTGTACCCAACGCTTAATGTATTTATTGACTGAGAGTGAATTAAAATGACTTACCAAATTTAGCATTCAATTGCTCCATATTCATCTTGTTATACATCTGTAGTGACTCTTTAAACACTTCGAATTTTCTCGCCTTTACATCTCCATTTGCATATTCTTTTCCGTATTCCTCGATAAAGTCCTGAAAATATTCTTCAGCTTTTTCTAAATCATACTGAAACTCTGGTATGGCTTTAACCGCTACAATAGCAAATAGTAATATAAAATTAAATGTGACCATGTTGGAATTTACTTGGTGTTATTTAGTAAGAGTACTCCAGGGAGCGCTTTATATACTCAAATGTTTGTTGTATTTACGGGTCGTTTTGTTCAAATGCCTATTAAAATGTACTTAATTACCTAGTTAATATTATTGTAAAATAAAAATGCAAATTTCAAAAATTATGGTGTTCTTTTAAATATTAGCAAAGGACATGTCAGTGATAATAACTCCAAAACAGATTTTTAAATTTATTAACGACATTACGTGACTATATTATTTTAAGTGAAATTACCCAATATACATCTTAGCAACTACGAAATTCCAGACTTCAGGGATTAGAAACCACTACGCCTCTCCAATTTCTGTAAAGTGTTGAGTGACTCCATTAATCCCATCGATGTCAGAAAGTCCTAGTGAAGGCTTAGGGAAATTTGATGTGGCACCTGTATTGTTTATTTATTAGATACAGATGGTCATAAGGTCCATTGAAAACCAGCGGCACGGCCCATTCTCGGCTATGGCTTTAGCTGAATAAGATCCTGGCATATCCAAAAGGAGGCACACATGTCACTATAATGTTAAGTTTACAGTACAATATGTTCTTTAGTTTAAATGTTAGCTATGCTCTTTCCTGTGTTACATATTTACATATTTTTTGTTTTTTCTTTATATTACTTTCTTGTGTTTCTTTCTTATAATGTGGTGTTGCAATAAATGGTTTCTATTTCTATTACTAATGAAGTTTGTGGCGATGCTGACCTCTTTTGTTATTATCTCACCTTTTTATCACCCTCTTTACTGGTTCCGGGCCACTTATTTTTGACATTTTGAATCGTTCTTAAATTTCCTTCAAATCTCGAATTCTCAAAAACGAAAGGACGTGCTCATAAGTCACCCTCATAAGACTCAATCATACTTCACGTGATTTACTATTTTTGAATAATATACCTAGATTTCTTATATTTTTTATATATGATATGCAGGCAGATAACTTCATTCCACCTGATATAAAATGGAAAATGGAATCGAAACGTGAAAGAAACAGCCCTCATATCTTTCTTCATTAGTTTTGATTATAGTGACCCTTCTTAACGACCCTCAAGGCGATACGAGTAGGACACTATAACCTGAGCACGTACAGGAATCTTACAAGTTCATGTTCTGACCCCAGATCAGGCAGTGTACAGGGTTATCACAGACCTCTGTCACTTGACTTCATCCGGTTCTGCGAGAGGCTAGTGCGTCGGGGGAGCCACCCCGGGTGCACGTACGGTACCCTCCCTATTTTCCAGATAAGTACCGGAGCTGTAAGCAGGCTCACTTCCCGTTGCGCATGCACAACGACCGGTTGCCACCGCTAAGCCGTCGACTCTGAGTCCACTACCAAATCTTCCCATTGGTGGCGGAGCTGTAAGGCACGCTCACTTTCCGACGCCGAAAAAATAATGACGTCTCTCCAGTTCCCAATAACCTAAGCGGCTGGAAGGGCCGGAGAATAACTAGCTTATCCTCTACTAGCTCTCCGGGCTAGGGCCGGAGATGCTAGTCCCAGTGTCCTGCGACAATGTCCGGACATAACTTCCATCTTAAAGGGCAGCTCACGTACCCCGCGCGTCTCCTCGCTTCAGGCCCTAAACTAGACCGCAACTAAGGCGCGCTAGCTGCTCACGAGACAATACCCTGTGTGAAGGGTAAGGGTGCTGGTGAAATTGCAGACGTATGGGACTTATCAACTTATGTCTCATGGTGACGAGCGCAGTGGCAGTGCCCCTCAGATCTTTGCGATTTAAAGCTCAGAGTGGCACTGCAACTGTTATGGACAGGCGCATAGCTTATCATCAGGTGCACAACTTGTTCGTCCCGTCACTTGATATTATAAAAAAAGGAACCTAATGCAGTGTTGATACAATCACTGCCTTAGCCACCTCCACAGCCTGCATGCGTACAAGATGCTTCTTCAACACGTACGTACAGGCTCTTTTGAGTTTTTTTCATTTATACTTAACAATAATAATAATAATTTATTCAGTACAACAGTAATGCCAACCAACCAACAGTGACAAAGTACACACAAATTATGAGTTGTACATAAACTGACAAAAAACAACAAGGAACAGGCCATCCATTAATTCCCAAACTAGAGTAAACCTGTACTTTGGGATCTGAAATTTACTTGTAATTACTTGCTTGTTAATTATTTGTAAATAAATTATGTGAACTGTGAAATGTAAACCTTACCTTTCTTTTCACTAAGGCTACAACATTTAAAACGTTGAGTTTTCTAGACATCTTAGAGTGGGAACCTCACATACGCGTTTTCATTCAGATAATTTTTACAAATTTTTTGTTGAAGAAAAGCTTTTCAATATAAACTTTATGCTCAAATATATTATTAAAGTAATTAACGTTTTTATCTTAGTCCTAAAAATTATTTACAAATCACTTAAAAGGTTTTCATACTAAGACACCGATTTATAACTTCACAAAATATAAAGGAAATCCATCATTACGAACTATGTATACATTAGGGACACGCTGTAAATCGTGAACATGCACTGGTGACATAGTATAAATTTATAAAGCTAGTATGTAGTGCACTTATCGTAAAGTCATTCGTTTTAATAAATAAGTAGAATTATTTACCTCTGAAATACGTGCGGTAAAAGTATGCCAACTTTGCAAGGTCAGAGAAAACATTTTAAAATAAAATAAAAAATTATATGTATCCTGGTTATCGTGGTATCCTGGACGAACAAGTCGTGCTTCTAGAGGTAAGCGTCATGCCTATCCATAACAATTACAGTGCGACTCAGAGCTTAAAATTACAAAGATCTGAGGAGCACTGCCACAGCGCCTGTCACCCTGAGAAGTAAGTTGACAAGTCCCATGTGTACGGACCTTCAAGACCGGAATTCAGTAATGTTCATATTACTGATTGGCGGCAGAAATCGGTATGTAAGGTTTAATTTTTAGTACCCCAAAGCACACCAGCCCTCGTAGTATGGCTACGCATGATAATCGCGACGCGCACGATAAAATTTAAATAAGTGCGCGCTATTGGCTGTTTCAATGAGATCTAATTTAGATTTCAATTTTATCGCGCGCATCGCGACTAACTATAACTATTTACCACTTTTAATACCGGGTGATATTTATTTCGACATTTTCGACTAATGAGTAGTTTAATAATCCAAAAACCCCATAGAATACCAGCGATGTGGTCTCGAGACCACGCCACACACAAATCGACGTATGTTTTTATTTTGTATTTTGTTTTATATTTTCTTGTATTAATGTTTTAAGTCTTTTTTCTTTCAGTTGGTGTTCTTGAGTCTTAACTCAAAAAGAGGACTTTCGCAGAATCGATGAAAAACGAATTACTCAATGCCCGCAAAAAAATCACTAAAATGAATATGTTGTAGTTTATTATAGACGCTTACACAATTTTTCAAATATATTTAATAATAAGCTGGAAAAAATTATTTCATATTTTTCAATAAGGATTATTTTGGTCAGAACTAGCTCACATAAAGTGTGTCTCATTTTGAGTTAAGTAGATATATTTTGATTGTTTCTTACAATATTCTAACGACGGTTTTTTTGACGTGAAGAAAACCAAATTTTACGTTCAGTAATGATATAATATTAAATTTCACATATTTTGAGTTACAACACTATTGTAATAGCAGTGCGATATATGCCCGCATTCCCATAGTAACCGAACCCATTTGCCCCTGAAAACAATTTAATATAAGAAAATACCTATTAAGAGTGTACTATTGAAAACAAAAGCGATATGACTGTAATTTACAAAATTTATTTATGGAAGCACACAACTCAGGACAAACTAATTAGTTACGCAGAATGAAAATTTACATAGGCAGCTCCAACAATAGCCCGCAGATATGTATCCAAAGTTTGTATTAATCAATAATTGTTATCATCCAGTGAACAATGTGGGATATTGTGGTAGATTTACTGTAGCCGGCAAACATAATAACGAAATTTCAAGGCAGAATTTTAAAATCCATTTTCACTCCCGATGCAAAAAGACTTTGTCTGTGCGTTCGAACCAATCTCAAAGCTGTTTTTTTTATTTAAAAGCTAGTTTAGTAGCCATGGTTCTTATCTATGTTTAATGAATACCAATAAACTATTTAAAGCTCTTTTTCCGGTTTATGTAGAGATCTCATCAGTCACAACACTATTGATAATATTTATTTTAATTTAACTAATCCGATCGACTTAGAATTTGGTATGCTGTGCAAGTCCTTTTTTATTTTTTACTGCAGGCAATTTTTAAACTGTGATTTTTTGATTATGAATTTATTAAAATTTCGCGTAATTGAATATTAGGTTAGTAAAGCTCTTTATGAAAGAGTTAATCCAGGGAAGTACTGCCATCTTACTTATTTTTTTTTTTTTTTTTTTATACCTGACAGGCAAATGACTCCACTCCACCTGATGTTAAGTGGAAAGTGGTATCCAAACGCGAAGGAACCTAGTGCAGCGATGGAATCCTCACTGCACTAGCCGCCTCCACCCTGCCTGCCTACAATATGCCTCTTCACGCCTCGTTTGAAGGACCCCATATCATACCCCATACCCCATATTTCTGCCGCCAAGCAGTAATGTCAGCATTATTGTGTTCCAGTTTTGAAGGGTAAGGGTGCTGCTGAAATTACAGGCACGTGGGACTTGTCAACTTATGTTTCAGGGTGACGGGCGCCGTGGCATTGCCCCTCAGATCTTCAACTGTTATGCACAGGCGTGACGCTTACCTCCAGAAGCACGACTTGTTCGTCCCGTCATTTGATGTCATAAAAAAAGTTTTGTCTCGTCGGATTAGTCTCGATTATTAATTGGTTGACAGATCAAGTACCAGTAATGATTTTCAGCAGCAGTAGATCGTCTTGTGAAAGAGTTTGTCCAGAGAAGTACTGCCATCTTACTAAGGGTGGTGCTGGTGAAATTACAGGCACATGGGACTTATCAACTTATGTCTCAGGGTGTCGGGCGCAGTGGCAGTGCCCCTGAGATCTTTACGATTTAAATCTCT